GCGGAGCTGCGCTTGCTCGTGTGCGGCTTGTTTACACCCCTACATGGGGGAGACTTTGAAGAAGGACGGTTCTGAGCTTCTTACTTTGTTGGTGTAAAGAAATCGTACTGTGATCTTATGGCGCAGGTTTTGAGACGTACAAATCAGACAAAAATATTATTTTTTTCGCTATTCAGTTCTCATTGTTATCAAAGTGAAAAACACAATGTGAACCGGGAGGTTTTATTTTTGTTTCAAAGTATAAAGCATAGACAAAGTGATGCTTTTATTAATTAAAGCGTTAATTTGTTATATATAACTATTAATGTATAAATAGCTGTGCTGCAAACTAGGTCGAAGGCTCAGCTTGCGGTGCAATGGTCGAAGGCTCTGCTCCCTTTCGCTCCTTTGGCACGCTATGCCAAAGTTGAATAGGATGCATTTATTTCCACATGCTTATCTGATAAGACGAACTAGTCCGACTTGCTTTGCTTTAGCGTGTGGGAGTGCTTCACGCGTAGATACGCTCTTCTCTTGTAGTGATAGCATGACAACAACACGAAACAAACTGAATGAGTTTTGCGTTGCTTCACGCTTGAAGGACGCCTTGAATTGGGCTTTTAAAAACACCGAATTGCTATTATTTTACTTAGAGTACATGTGCAAGTCATTAATTACGGGATGTTAAGTGCCATATGGGCGTAGAGTTTTAGGCAGCAGGCCATGGCCTCTTTCTTGTCTGGAAGGATTGTTGAATGATATTAATATAAGATTCATCAGGAGCTGTACACCAAAGAAAATATGTTACAGAACAATCATGAATCGATTCTAGAAATCAAGTACAATATTGCAACAATCAAATGTATTTTTTTTGGTAACATGGGGGATTTTTATTTCTCATATACCTACTAAATAGTTGTGAATTGCCTCCCATCCCTCCTTATGCCTTTTCCTATATTATGGATTTACTACCCCAATGTTTTTAACGCACTATTCTTTTTATTGGCTATCTGATGCTTGCCTATATATATTGTAATTTTTCTATCTCATTGAAATAAGAAAAAATAATCGAGTCCTTCTCTTTGTAGTTTTTTTTTTTTTTTTTTTTTTTTTTTATGATATTTGAGCCATCTACTTCAATTGTACTTGTCCTCTTGGTTTGTATTCGTCTCTATACGGTGTGATGTTTAAACACAAAATAACTTTTTATTGGGGCTTCTTATCCTATGCCCATTTAGCAAAGAATCATTTCGTTATGCTAACTTTGTGTCAAGATTTCACATTTGATAGTTATTGGGCACAAGTTTAACGGGCAAAACCACCTCCAATAGGCCCAATCAGTTATGATGTTCATCAAAGAGTAAAAAAGATGATTCCTTACTGGAGCTACCTTTCTTAAAATAAAGATCTGAAGTTCAAACATGAGCTTTTATAGCAATATGGTAATTTACTTATCAATACCATGGAAAATTAAATTGATCAAAATTGCATGTTTCATGTGATTCAAAATGAAATATGAGATGCCACAAAAGAAACATACGTTAATGATGAAAATAAGGTAGTGTTACATGAAATTGGATGCCTTGTTTCTTATGAACTTGATTAGGAGTGTGGATATATCAATATATCAAAGTTTTTTTTGATAAAGTTAGGATTACAATTTATTACTACGATTAAATAAATTTTTTGATGAAGTTTGGGGTGAGATATTTGGGATATTACCACTTCCATGAATATGGAAAGTATTCTTTGAGGTTCAGAGAGAAGAAAACTAGAACAAGATCTTCATGAAGAAGCATGGAGTTCCAACTTAACACTTATAGAGAAGAAAACTAGAAAAAGATCTTCATGAATAGAGGTGTAAACGAACCGAACACGAACGAACAAATCACTTCAGATGTATGCACATCCAATGATAATGCCTCAAGTAAATAAGGCCTTGGTGCGATTATTGTTGTAATGTAAGTCTGGTGACATACAAATAAAACTTTGTTAGAAATTTATTGGAAATCCAACCGATTGCAATTTGGAAAGCAAGAACATGGTTTATTTGTTTCTAATAATGATCTTAAAAAATCAATACTATCTATGTACAATCAATAAAAATTTGAAATACTGGAAAAAATGTTCATTGAACTCCAAACATATTCAACCACTCCTCGACAGAAGAACAAATAAAATTGTTTTCAATGAGCTTGACTCAAAAATCAATATTTTTAATGTTTCTTTCTTGAAGCTCACATTCAGGGGATGGTTGTCATCAATCGTAATGAATATGAGTTTTATGTGACTATTCAAATATGGTTTACTTGAGCCTATATTTCTTGACCAACCCAACTCTCTTTTCCTTGATATTGATAGCTCTCAGTAACACATTCAACAAGAAAAATGCAACAAGATTTGTCTATTCCATACGTTAGCAAAATTCAATAAGAAAGAAAGATTTAAGGATTTTTTTATAAGCAAAATCTTATAGCCGACCTTTGCTTTGATCATCCTTCACAAGTTAACATTTATTATGATCTTAATATCTCGATTGTTCACTAGGAAATATGTAATGACTAAATAACCTTGTACATAAATATCTAATCAATGAGTACATCTTCTATTATTACTATTGGTTTTATATTTAATATTTCTAGTATGGACATCCCCAAAACATTCATGAAAAGAGATGTTATGCATGAAGATATAAGAGCACTTAACAGGAGTGCTATATGGATACTCTTTATCTTTCTTAAAGGAAATAAACTTATTGGGTACAAATGGGCTTTCAATATAAATTATAAGGCTGATGGGAGCATTGAAAGATATAAGACATGACTGGTTGCAGAAGGGACTACTCAAAACTTAAAAGATTGACTTTTCAAAAATATTTGCACTCGTTTCAAAGAATAATTTAGTCTAATTTATCATGTCTTTTGCTACTAATCTTGGTTGGCCTCTTTACCAAGTAGACATCGAAAGTTCTTTCTTAAATATTGACCATGAAGAAAAAATATATATGACTGTACCTCGTAGATTCAAGGTCACTGATAATAAAGTTACTATCTATAAACTTGAAAAATTTATATATTATCTCAAGTAATCTTCAAGGCCCTGATTTGATAAATTTACTCTCCTGATTAAAAGTATGCTACTCTATGAGCAAGCTAATTTCACTTACTTTAAATAGTAATTCATAGCTAAATCATTATTCTCATTGTCCATGCTGATGATATTATTTTATTTAACAATAATGAAGAAGAAATCAATTGATTGAACTAGAACTTAGAAAATTTATTTGAAATATAGACGGAGTCTTAAAATTTTTTATTGTTAGGGATATCACAAAATCAAAAAAATATATAGCTATCTATCAACAAAAGTATATTCTTGACGTTTTAAAAGAAAAATATATGATGGGTCACAAGCTTGCTAATACCCATATAAGTCTTCTAAATAAATTGGGCTCAAATGTGATACTCAGTGGACAGGGAGTTACCAATGAATAGTTGGAAAATTCATCATTTTCTACCATGCTCAACCTTGCATTTTTGTTTTATGGTGTTATTAGTTAATTTATGAATGCTCCCAGTGAAGAACATCTTAAGGCATTCTATAGGATGCTAAAGTATTTTAAACAATCACAAGTGGAAGGCCCCTTCTTCAAGAAAGGAACATATTGGAGTATTCAAATCTTCATTAATGTTGATGGTTGGATTTATATCTGTTTGCAATTTCATATTTGGCTATTGATAATTTATATGGGGAAATCTAATCATTTAGAAAAGTAAGAAGTTTATAGTTATCGTGAAAGTAGCACTGAAGTTGAGTTCATGGTCATGGATTATGGAATTTGTAAATAAATGTGGCTGTAAAGATATCTAGAAATCCTCAAAGTTCGCATTAAAGAATCAATAGCAAAGATATGTGACAAACAATCTATAATCTATATTAATTAAAGATCCAGTCCATTATAACAAGACTAGATATGTTGAGATTTATAGACATTTTATAAAGAAAAAAATTGAACAAAATTTTCAAAATAATCTACACGCTAATCTTAGAAGGCGTACGTCCTCACTAAAGCCCAAAATCAAATTCATTCCTCACTTCCAAGTTAGGAGCGATCAGAATATTTTTTTAGCTTGAAAGGGAGTTTGGAATTTAAAGCAGCTGAACCTTACCTTTCTTATCTTGAAGGGTTTCTAGATGATACAAATATGGGATGAATTAAGGTTTATATAGTAGAATCTACTGCATGCAATCACCAATCAATTCCAAAAATATTGAGTCCAAAATTGCAAACATTCTGGCAACATGGGGGGTGATTTTCCCATATTTTTTTACCTCATGGGCAACAGTGAATTGCCATGCAGCCCTTCTTAACAATTGGTCATGAAATCCTGCATAATTTATTTACAAGAGAGCTGTTTTTTATTGCCATTTTGAGGTAATATATGAAATGTTTGCTTGGTTTGATAACTTAAATAACTTCAATTTGTCAACCTGTGCGTTTACATAATTGGATTCACTTCTAACAATCAATTTCGAAAAATCTTCATTTATTATACATTTAAGTTGACAAGGGTCACTGTATTTATTTTAGTAAATCATTCAGCTTTCAGTTAATTGATTTTCTTTTGGAGTTTTAAGTAATGCAAGCTACATTTTTTGGAATGGCTTCTCTGAATGCTCTTGATTTCTGGAGATGACAGTGAAGGACCTTGTGTAATGGATATGCAGTTTGGAGTATTGACTGAGATTGAATAAAATTTTGCATGACCACTCTGTGTTAAACAATATAATCTCTATCGGCAGAATATCTTTTTGTCTTGGTTAATTGTTTAACCGATCATCTTATAATTAAACCTAGAGTTCTTTTGATTGTTTTTTACACTTCCTTTTTATTACGGCAATGTCTGCTCCTTTTTTGCTGTCCTGCTATTTTGGTTTACTGTTTGACCTGGGTTTGTTTATGAAAAACTTTTGTTCTGTTTAAAAAAATATCACGTTATTAAGATTTTTGTGTGCACCACAGAATGCATTCCCTAATTACTGATGCTCATGTTTTCGTAGGTGGAGATTCAAGTCAGGAAGCTGTACTGCATCAGTAGAGCTGTTCCAAACCTTCCTATAAATATTGAGGATGCAGCTCGAAGTGAGGAAGAAATCAAAGAAGCTGAAAAGGTAAATTATGATTTCTCATTTCCTTAGTTATTTTATAGTACTTTAGCTAATGCTCACCCTTTTATGTCATGAAAGTGAAACCTATGAATTCTATCCTCAATTTTTATTTGCCTTTTCCATTTAAACCTTATGCCTGTTTTGCCAATATATTTGTATTCTAATTAATTCTGCGATCTACTTTGTACATCACAGATGGGTGAAAAACTTGTTCGTGTTAACCAAGATACACGATTGAATAATAGAGTTCTTGATTTACGTACTCCAGCAAACCTAGCAATTTTTCGTCTTGAATCCTCCGTTGGATATGTAAGGCCTCTTTTTCTTTATTGCTACATTTTGTCAATTTCAAATTTCCAGTTTGAGATTGTTAACTGCATGAGATTGTTTTTTAATTGCCTTCAAATTCGCTGATTTTCATTGTACCTTCCATCTATTGTAAATTAATTTGTAGGATCCAGATATAGCTTACTTTGGCCTTTAGGAATCTCGCATGCATACATTTTTTGCTTGGGAAATTTACAAGAATTCCACTCAATTACTATATATATTTACATATCTAACACATAAAATTCAATTTTTATATCTATACCATTTTACATGTGCATGAAAATGTGTGTTTCACGTTTTAAAAGTTAAAATAATGATATTTTTAATGTGATACGAAAGATTTGGTTGGTATAAATGTAAAAATTAAAGTTCATGTGTAACACACGCCGAGTCCAACAAATAATTTGAAAACTTATCTTAGGTGCAAGGCTAAAAGGGCAATTTAGTAATTTATTCTTTATTATTTTGGGGTATAAATAAGACAAATATGCTTAGGGTTTGGCTTTGGGTTTGGGTTTGGGTTTTGTTGTCTTGGGCCTTAGGGTTAGAATTTGAGAGTGATCACCTACCTCGAATTGTTGGTGCTAGGATTAGGGTTAGGGTTAGTGAGAGATTGTGTACTTCTTGACTTGTAGGTTCTTATTTTTTATGCATTTTAGTTGTGTTATTTTGTGTTGGTGGAATAAAGAATTTTATTTGCCCAAATTCATCTCTGTTCATATAAAGTTGGTATCAAAGTATTCAATTTTGGGAATCAAAGACGGGATCGCGGGTACAGTGTTTTGCCTTGCCTTCATGATTGAATTTCGCAATTGAACTAGCTGGGAAGCAATGTCTGGATCACAACTTATAAGGGTCTACGTTGCATGCTTCTTGAAGAAACCAAGATAATAGATGATTTCGAGAAAAAAAAACATAGGAGAAGTGAGCCAAAACAAGTCAAAAATGGAGAAGCATTCTTGCATAAAAGGCACAATTGTCGTCCGTGGAGAGGAGATTCACAGCCCTGGAAGAATGATGAGGAAGATCATGACATTTCACACTAAACCCACCTCCATCCGCTGTGGAGTCGAGCGATGGCATGGGGAACAAATGCGAGCGGCAAGAATCAAAAGGATTCGTGCGACATTAGGGCGTCACTACTTTTGGCGAATATGGAGCCAGTGATTCGAGCGAAGGAATCAGAAGCTGACTCGAGCAACAACAATTAGAAGGAATAGCGCGACATCCAAACAGTTGGAACGAATGGAAGCCAATGGGACTTAGCAAAGGAGTCAGGAGTAGATTCAAGCGGCAACATTTGGATTGCAGGACATCAAGATGTTTGGAAAGAGGGGAATGGAACAGCGAACTATGGTTTGGAGGCCTACGTCCAACTGCATCAGTGCCTTTTATAGCGGCAATCTTCCACGCAGGAGATTTTGGAGTAATGTTGGGAATGAGATAGGTGGAGAAGATCGGGGGGGAATTTGTAAGGAACTGATTTTGATATTGTAGAATACTCGGAAGGGAGACAAGATGGTGATGCTTCGCGGTAATCCTAGTTTATGCAAGCCTTTGGTGACGCTCAATGCCATGGCGAGGGCAATTTAAGTTGCAAGGCTGAGATTTTTGATCAAGCTGCATAGAGACACTCGATACGGAGTTGGCAGAGATTTCAGTGATAGATGAGTTGCTGGATGTGCTGTTTGGGGCTGCGGTATTCTTCAATATTGACGAGAAGTCGGGATACTATTAGATTTGGATGCGGCTGAAGGATGTGCACAAGATGATATTTCAAACTTATGAGGGCCACTACAAATTTCTAATTAAAAGATTGTTAGATGATGATGCCATGTGGTAGCTACAATTTTATTCAACGGTAATTTTCTCTCTTCCACCTTGAAGACATTGTCTCTTTCTTTGAGGGGAGTACTAGAGTTAGGGTGGGGAGAGATCACCTACCTCTCGAATTATAGATGCTAGGGTTATGATTTGGGAGAGATCGCTTACCTTTAGAATTTTAGGTGTTTTTCTTTTATGTATCTGAGTTGTGTTGTTTTGTGTTGGTGAAGTAAAAAAAATTATTTGCTCTATTTTTACTTTGAAAATTTGTCTCTGTTCGCATCATGTATGTTAATACATAGGAATTGAATGGTATGTATTTTAATGCCTCTTTTTTCTCTGACCATTTAAACCATGAAAATTTAGATGTTACTATTTACTAACCATTCAAGACCTTCGACACAGATTTTTCGAGATTTTTTGCAATCTGAAGATTTTTTTGAAATTTATACACCGAAGTTGATAGCTGGTACAAGCGAAGGAGGTGCTTCCGTTTTCAAGTTAGACTACAAGGGTCAACCTGCTTGCTTAGCCCAATCACCACAGCTCCATAAGCAGATGGCTATATGCGCTGGTTTTGGACGTGTGTTTGTAGTTGGCTCAGTTTATAGGGCAGAAGATTCATATACTCACAGGCATCTGTGTGAATTTGTTGGTCTTGACGTTGAAATGGAGATCAAAGAGCATTATTTTGAGGTGAGAAGGGATTGCATGCTCTTATCATAACAACAGAGCTTTTTTTTATGGAATAAATCCCAAAATGGTGCCCCGACTGTTCTATCGTGGCTAATTTAGTCTCAAATTTTTGTAGTGCTCCGGTTTAATCCCTCAACTATAGAAAATTGATCCAAAATGGTCTTTCGTGTAGAAATCATGACACAAAAATTATCCCAATTTAGTCTCTCTGCTATGCAAAATTGATCCAAAGTTATGCCTTAAGGGATTAATTGAGATCAATTTTTAATAGTTGGGGGGAATAAATTCGAGAAAAGTAAAATTTTGGGACTAAATTGGCGACATCTGAATAGTGATGGGGCCATTTTGTAATTTAACCCTTTTTTTAATCTATGTATCTGTTGAATTATATGCAGGTTTTAGATATTGTGGACAGATTGTTTGTAACAATGTTTGACTACTTGAATGATAAATGCAAGAAGCTACTTGATGCAATTAACAAACAAGTCCCCTTTAAGCCACTGAAGGTAAACCAAATTTGGTTTCATATGTGATAGGAAGTTGTTTTCCCCTTCCATTGCACAATTTTTTCAATTAAGTATTTTTAATCCGCTTTATGTAATATTATTATTTAACATATTTTGCTTTTCTGCAAAATGGTTAAAGCTTCAAGGTTCTAATAAATTCAGATGCATTGTTATGGCAGTATTTGCGGAAGACCTTGCGCCTTACATTTGAGGAGGGCGTCCAAATGCTCAAGGTACACCCTTCATTTATATTTGGGAAATTTACATACATACCACCCGAGTCTTATTATTTGCATATTTAACACCCAAAGTTTGACATTTATACTTATAACACCTTGGTGTCATGAACATATGCATAAAAGGTGCATTTCACTTTTAAGAAGATAATGATGATGATATTTTAGATGTGATGTTAAAGATTTGAGTGGTTTGCATGTAAATATGAATGTTTAGGTGTTAGATATGTAAATACATAAGAACTGGTGGTATGCATATAAACGCCCCTTAATATTTTCTTTGCTTCTAAATCAGTTATTTTCTTATTTATTGTTTAAATTTTATGAATAAATCTGAAGGCAAGCTTTCCTCAATGACAATGCCAAACTTTGGAATATGGCCATTTGTTAAGCACTAGGGTTGGTAGGCTGCCATCAACTGGCACGCTACCAATACCTTACCTATTATTTATTTCCTAAAACAACTTATTTTTTTCATTTATTTTTATTTTCAAACCTAGCTGTCATGTGATTATGTCTTAATGATATCCTCTATAACCCTCATGAGTTGGGGCTATTAGAAATTAAAAACTTATGAAGTGATGTGAGTTGTAGGAATATTTTTTGAGTAAAAGATAATGTGGGAGATTGTCTTGTTTCCGCTTAAGCTTTGGCTTCTACTATTTCTTGGATGAAATAAAGGGACAATCATTGATTTCAAAGTTCATAGCAATTTTTATTATTTGATTTATATTTTATTTTGACTATCCACTCCCTAAACTCCTATAAGTAGGAGATAGGGTGAAAAGTATGCATGTGCTTAAATGTTATGCCTAGGGGTGTAAACTAGTTGAATGAAACTTGAGTCATCTGTGACTAGAGCTCATGATCGATTGATTATTCTAGCTTAAGCTCAAATCTGATCTTAATTCTTTGAGTTCGAGTTTTCTCACAAGTTGACTTATCTATTATGAAAGAGAAACTAATTTTAATAGAAGAAATTTTGTAATGAAATTGACAAATAAATGAGTAGTTATTAGAGAAATAATAAGAAACCACTTGTCACTTGTTATAAGAAAATAAAAAAATAATTTTAAATTTTTAAAAGAATTTATATTTGAACTCAAATTTAATTTATTTTAATTTTATTTTATATTAATATTTTTTAAATAAGTCTGCTCACTAGCTAGCAAGTTGAGTTGAGGCTAACTCAAATTTGGCTCGTGAGCTCTTTGAGCTCAACTTACGGGTTATTTATGAACCCCAACTCGAGTCAGCTCACGCGTCGATTTCGCTTAGTTAATACCCAACTTTATTATGAAAAAGGGCATTTTCCTAATATATTTTCATTAACTGGCCTGCTCATCCATCCACTATCCTTCTATTTTTCATCTAAATCACCTATATTTTAACTTTCTTCTCTTCAATAAATGAAATTCCACCATATCATTGATATATCATTTTCAATCTGTCTTCAATAAAGTAAAAATTTTCCAAGATAGATCGCATAACCTATTTCATGATCCTTATGAAGTACTCAATGCATAAGTTAATTGAAAAACATCATATGAGCCATTCCATTCACCCCTACTCTCATCATTACTTGATGGTAATGACACTTTAAGATTAATCTTTCAGAAATTTGTAACCCTACTCATCTTATCTAACATGTCATCTAATCTTGGTATGAGAAATTAATATTTGATTGTGATTTTATCATTAACTCAACTATCTCAAGCACATGCTCCAACTCTTATCCTTCTTAGGTGCGACTAAAGGAGGCAATACGTGAAGGCTCATTCATTCCTTAAAAATCCTTTTGTTCGATAATTTATCTACACGTCTTTTAAGTCACCATGTTTAATGTGATTCATTTTATGATATGGCAACTTTGGTTATGATGTTCCATTGAATAAATCTATGACATGTTGAATATTCTTGCATGGTATTAATGCATCAATTAATTCATGTGGTCATAGTCTATTAAATTTAGCTAGTATTTGACTAACATTTTTAGGCCCTGTTTGGGGCCGCTTTTTTCAAATGGCGCTGCCCCAAACCGCGAAAAATTTTTGTTTGGCTCCCAACTTCGCGGCCGCATGACGCTAAAGCGGGCGGAAAGCGGGCCTGCTGTCGGTCAACTTATTTTTCTCGATTAGATTGATTTGAGGTCAACAGCCGCGGGATCGACCCTCCGACCCCAGCTTTCTCTTCGCTAATACTTTTTATCATTCCATTCAAAAATTTAATCGGCACAAAGTTCTGAAATTTAATAAGAAAAGCATGGAATGGACATAAAATTTCAGCGATGATGCTATGAAAAGGAATTTGGCTTTTAAAGCAATTGACAAATCTTAAGGGTGGATTTAATGAAATCTTCTTACAAGTCAAGATAGTTTTATTAAATATGTTCAAAAGTGAATAAACAGGCCAAACCCAGGCCGCAAGACCCGATGATTAATCTGTGAGCACGAGACTTGGGGCATGAATGTGGAACGGTTATATTCACCTGTAGGAGATTTTGTTAAACTAAACTACATATTATTGTAACATAAGAGCAGGGTTCAGCATCATAAGTTTGCGTTCAATCCCAAGTTTTCCAATTGTAACCAACAAAATCTTTAGTTTAACAGGTTTTTTTTTTGTATTAAATTTTTGTGAAAAACTAAAGTTTTTATTACACTATTGTTAGACATCCAAGCACTCTTTACCCACATTTTAGTTGTTTGAGATTTGTTATAATAGAACCCAATATATTTCTTATTGATGCAAAGAAGGGTATAAATACCTATTAGAGGATATACCCGTAAGGAAACACATAAAAATATAATAAAGGAATAAAAGGAAAAAAAATGAAAGAAAATAAAAGCAAATAAAAGTAATTATTACTCAATTTTGTATTAATAATTATTCTAATACTCCCCCTCAAGTTGATGCATAGATGTCTGTCATGTTCAACTTGGATTTTAACTCATTGAACAGTGGCCGAGAAATGTTCTTTGTGAGAATATCTACCAGCTGACCACTAGATGATACAAACGGAACACAAATTTTTCCAAACTTGAGCTTTGCCTTAATGAAGTGCCGGTCAATCTCAACATACTTGGTGCGATCATGCTGGACATGGTTATGAGAAATGCTTATGACAACCATGTTATCAGAGAACAACTGTAGGGGAGCAGAGACTGTCATACGTATTTCATGGAGCATGATGTGTAACTAGAGAGCTTTACAAATTTGTAGGGACATGGATCCAAATTCGGCATCTATACTATTCCCGAGTAACTACAAATTGTTTTTTACTTTTACACGTGATCAGGTTTTCCCACACAATTGAACAATACCCCGAGGTAGACCGCCGATCATGAACAAACTTGACCCAATCCGTGTCTGTGTAAAATGTAATAGAACTAGAGGTGTGGCGGGAAAAAACAAACTTGAGCCAGATGTCCCTTTTAAATAGTGGAAAATTCGATGGACAACTTGGAGGTAGTGCTCGTAGGGATCATATATGAATCGACTTACTATTCCAACTGCTGACAATCATTGGTTCGCACATGAGAAGATTGTTATCTGGTAAAAGGTTAATCACATTTTTCTGTTGAGACGAACAAATACCTTGAGATGACCGAGCAACTTTCATGCCTAAGAAGTATTGGAGAGATCCTAAGCCCTTCATTTCAAAGAAAACAAAAAGCATGCCTTTCAGAGACTCCAATGTTGGTAGATCATCAACTGTGAGAACAATATCGTCAACATAGACAATAAAGATAGTTACCTGGCCGCTGAAGGAATGTCGGAAGAAGAGTATGACCCGATTGAGCTTAAGTGAATCTATGACCTACCACCATCTTTGTGAATTTCTCAAAACATACCCGTGGTGATTGCTTAAATCCATAAAGGGATTTTTCATAGTTTACATGCTTGCCCTGGGAGGCAGTGGAGTTAAAGCCTGGAGGAAGCGCCATATATATACCTCATTTGTAAGATCGCCATTCAGGAACGCATTCTTAACATCAAGCTGAAATAAGGGTCAATCCAGATTTATTGCAAGTGATAAGAGGACCCGACTGGTGTTTAATTTGACAACTGGAACAAATGTCTCTTCATAATCAACTCTGTAGGTCTGTGAGCATCCTTTGACGACCAATCACGCCTTATTGTGTTCAAGGGATCCATCATATTTAAACTTGACGCTAAAAATCCATCGATATCCCACTGCTTTCTTGCCCCGAGGAAGATCAACAATTTCTCAAATGGTTTCGCTGAAAAGTATTCATCTCCTTCATGACAACAGATTTCTAGGCTGGGTCTGCTAGGGTAGCCTCAGTACTAGACTGAAGCTGATGATTGGTCAGGATCGTAACAAATGCTCTGTAGGTTGGTGATAATCTATGAAGAGAGACATAATTTGCCATGGGATAGAGAGTCCGTCTGATTGTGTACCTTATTAAAGGAATCAACTTCCTCATTTAGAGTAGGAGCAGGTTCCGCTGAAGAGTATTCATCTCCTTCATGACAACAATTTTCTAGGCTGGGTCTGCTAGGTTAGCCTTAGTAATAGACGAAAGCTGATGATTGGTCAGGGCCGTAACAAATGCTCTGTAGGTTGGTGATATTGTATGAAGAGAGACATAGTTTGCCATGGGATAGAGAGAGTCTGTCGGATTGTGTACCTTATTAGAGGAACCGACTTCCTCATTTGGAGTAGGAGCAGTACTGGGGATGTTGTTTGGAGGGGATTTAGGGTCCAACAAGGGGTTAGCAAAGCTTCAGAGTAGGTGCATCAGAACGAGTGCATCGAATGTAGACACAGAGAGTGGGAGGGTGTGCTGGTGAAAACGAACTGACAGAGGACTCCTCGGTGGTAGGAGAAGTGGGTGGAATCAAAAGAATGAATGCTTAGAGTGTAAACACAGAGAGTGGGATTGAGTTCCTTTATGGTAGGTGACGTGAGGGGAACATCCACAAGAGTAGGGTAAGGAGCAGTGTCCAAGAACTCTAGCTCCCCCTGGTGGCCGAGTTAGGAAAGTAGGGAACACTTTAAAAAAAAAGAGACATCAACATTCACATACACCTTATTTGTGGTAGGGTCAAAGCATCTATACCCCTTTTGAGTAACAGAGTATCTGACAAAAACACATTTTATAAACCTGAGATCAAGCTTACTCCGAGTGGGGGTCATGTTTCGAACAAAGACTTCGCACCCAAAAATTTGGGATATAAAGTGAAGAAGATCTGATTATTAGGAAAGCAAGATCTTAAGGCAGCTAAGGGGGTACAAAAGTTGTGAATTTTTTAGGGAACTCTATTTATGAGTAAGTGGCAGTAAGCATGACATCATTCCTACATTTGAGATATTAGAGTGAAACATAATGGAGCGCGTAACATCGAGAAAATATCGGTTTTTTCTCTCAGCTATCCCATTTTGTTGAGTGTTGGTACACGAGCTATGCCCTTACTTAACTTGAATTATTCTAATATAAAGTTGAAAAAATCACTATACATGAATTATTCTAATATAAAGTTGAAAAAATCACTATTAGAAGGATGAGGATCCGACTCTCTTCTCGACGAATCTCAGTGAAAGCACTGCCAGTAGAAGGAAGAGGGCGTTCCCGGACTTCGTCAAGTTCTTTGTTGAAGCCTCCTAAAAATTGAAACATGCGGTCATTTTCTATAATTTTTTGAAAAAGAGAAGTCAGCCAGAGATTCTCAAGCGCAGCCATAATATAGGTCGCATTTCAACCATAATGCAACTGGATCAAAAAGTTTGGGTTGTTTTCCTGCCCTCTGTTCTGCAGAGGAACGGAAGTTTGGTTTGATCCTCAGGTGAAATCAAGAACACCTTCTGATGACGGCTCAATTCTGGAGGAGTCCGTCTTGGTTCGATTGAGCCAAATGAGATTTTAGGGTGTTGAGACATCGTAAAGTTCCAAATGCTAGAGGGTAGGTATATGGCCTCGGGAAGTGGTTTCTACTAGAAGAGAACTTCTGGCGTGCTGGACGAAGGTTCCGTCGATCAGAGCTTATATGCTGGAAGAAATCTCCTTTGGAATATGAAGCTGGAAGTAATCTCTTTACGAATCTGAAGACGAGCTGCTAAAGAGGCTACTTCCCGTTGCTGGAGATGTTACCTTGCTGGTGATGGGAACCTATTAAAAGCCCTTTGTCACCTCCCAAAAGAGCCCTTATGGGTACGGGAACCAGGCAGAAGCTTGGAGACGGAACTTCTTTGGAGGCGGCAGTCTGGCTGTCTGGAGAGGAGATCCTGGGGACGGGATCAGGGAAGAGTACCTAGCTGGTTCCAGGAACCTGGACGCAGATCTAGCCGGCTGTAGGGACAGGGCATGACTCTGATACCATGTTAGAATAGTACCCAAGACTTTTCTTATTGATGCAAAGAGGTGTATAAATTCCCATTACAAGATATATTTGTAAGGAAACAAATACAAATAGAACAAATTAATAAATGAAAGAAAATGAAAGCAATTAAAAGTAAATAATACAGAATTCTGTATTAATAAATATTCTAATTTTATTCTAATATTATAATAAGATTTATTCTTATTTGCAGGATGCCGGTGTAGAAGTTGACCCCTTCGGTGACCTTAATACCGAGGCAGAAAGGACACTGGGCCGTCTCGTTCTTCAGAAGTACGTATCACTTTTGCTTGGTGAAATTCTTATGGAAGATTTGTATCCACATAATTCCTAAGTATTTACATATCTAATGCCAATCTTTAATTTTTACATGCATACCACATTTCCTGGTCTTGAAAAGGTGTATTTCACATTTAGAAGTTAAAAAGTGGTATTTTTTCTGTTATATTTGGGTGGTATAAATGTAAAAATCAAAATTTAGGCATTTGATATTTAAGTCATAGGAATTAGGCGATGTGTATATAAAAGCCCCCATTTTTATTTCTGCTTAGTCATGCCTTCCCTGTAAGTGACCTGGCTTTTCATATTTTACATGTTGTTTAAACAGGTATGATACTGAGTTTTACATACTTCATAGATATCCTTTGGCAGTACGACCATTCTATACCATGCCATGTCCCGACAACCCGTTATATAGTAACTCTTTCGATGTCTTTATCCGAGGTGAGAAGAACTTCTCTTTTCGTCAGCATATTTATGAGTTGGTTGCGTTTCTGACCTGCGGTGATTTCATTTTGATTATGATTACTTGTGGATTTTGTTATATTGTCTGATGAGTATGACCATATACTAAATAGCTATCAACATGGTGCATGGCTGTTGCCCTAATGTTTTTCCAATGATTTTTATTCTTGGTTGATGCTTAGGGGCTGATTGGGATAACTTTTATTTTTTTATTTTTGATTTTTTTGTTTATGTTTTGATTTGAAACAAAAGAAGTTTGAAATATTTGATTGAGATATGATTGTTTTTAGAAATATTCAAAATACCTTAAAGTTATTTTGAGTATTTTCAAGAACATTTAATTTTGTTTTTATAAACAAAAATAAAGATATTAAAAAAAAAATACTAAACAAACATTAAGGAAAAAAAAAAAAAACACAAACTAAATTAGTCCCAAACAAGCCCCAAAATTTTGCGTGCCATTTTTCAGTGTAGCTTCTTTGCAACTTGTTTGAAGTCTAATACATTTTTTGTCCAGCAAAAGGGAATGGCTATGACAAGTTTGTATAAAGTTTTGTGTATGTTGGAGCTTAATATTTTCAAGAGGAGACCTGCTAAAAGCCAACATCTTACTAAAATTTTGATTTCACTTACTGGGCTTCAGGAAGAATTTCCACCTATTGACACTCGTAGATTCAAAATACCCATTGTGAATCCAATTGACACTCGTAGATTCAAAATACCCATTGTGGCTCAATAGGTGGAAATTCTTATGGAATTGGATTCATCCATTGAAAAAGTTATGATATGTACTATTAATGATAAACTGATCTTGATAATTGTTGAAATTTTGCGTCTTACAAGTTGTAATGATGTTGAAGAGAGTTTTTGGCCTTAATCTTACATTTAAAGATGATAACATAAAAATCTAAGAAATGGGTGTTCTAAGAAATGCTTCAAATGGACATAATATGGTAGGTGTGCTCGTAACTTTTAAAAATGACTTACAAGTTCTGATTTTTTCAAGGTGAGGAGATAATTTCTGGAGCTCAAAGAGTCCACGTAGCTGAATTATTAACCGCTCGAGCAGAGGCTTGTGGAATTGACGTCAATACAATATCCACTTACGTGGATTCATTTCGGTGCGCCCTTTTTTGATTCCATGTGTTATGTTTCACTTGCTGCTGTTTCTAAGTAATAATATGTTGCATTTATTTGTGTTCAAACACTGCTGAGCATTGGTGTACTTGTTGCATGCAAGTGAAAATTCTTTTTTGAAATTAAAGTAGAAAACTTCTTGTTGTTGGAAGTCAAAAGTGTGTTGAATCATGCAGTATTAGCCCGGATTCTGGAGGATTTAGAGGAATTACTTCTTTTTGGTGGGTTTTTTTCTTGGATAATTGCATATTTGTTTCCTCTTCTAGTGTTTTGCAGGTCTTTGATTATAACTTCGAAGGATGATTCTTTTTGTGCTAATATGTGGTTTGAATCTCTCAATTAATGATTCATTTCTTCTTTCATCATAATTATTTAGTGCTTGATTTGTGCGTGTGATTTGAGATGCTGCCAAGTTTAATAGATATCATCAATTAAGATGTTTTACCATGAGTTTTGATATTCGAGCCGAGAATTTGAAAAATGGGTGAAAGTGGGTGGTTGATTTGTAAATAGCAAGTTTGGTGTACTTCCTTCACAATTTTCTTTACAAATTTAAGATTTTTTATTTAAATCTTAAATTGTTGTTTTTACAGATCTACCGTATTATTTAGTTTGTAAGTTTTTTTTTAAAATAATTTTTGGTTAATAAATTGGTCTTTGGTGACAGATATGGTGCATGGCCTCATGGTGGCTTCGGAGTTGGACTGGAGCGAGTGGTTATGCTCTTCTGCGGTCTCAGCAACATTCGTCAAGCCTCACTCTTCCCACGTGACCCCAAGCGCTTGGCTCCATAACCACAACCATCTCCAAATTCATTGCTCTGCCCTCAATTTGCAAGAGATATCAGTTTTTTTTTTTTTTTTTTTTATAGTAATTATTATTAAAGTTCTAAATTTGCAAAAATGTTAAGTTTTGATTTTATTTAAAGTTGATTCAAATTTGACATGAATGGTTAATTATATGTATGTTAAAGATGTTAAGTAAGTCGGGTTTGGGTCTGTTGGGTGAATGTAAGTTGGGTTCGGATTAAATATTACTTTACACATTTATACCGCTAAAATATTTCATATCAGATCAAATATATCATCATTTCAACTAAAAAAATTAAAATGCACCTTTTCATGCATAGGTAAGACAGTAAGTAAAAATTAAATTTTAGATGTTAAATATGTCAATGCATAAGAATTGAGAGGTATGTATGTAAATCATTCAAATAAAATGGGAGCGTTTTACATACCACAGAATTCTTATATATTTCCATAACTAGCACCTAAACATTAACATTTACATCCATAAATAATATACCACTATTACTATTTTTTTTTAAAATGAAATGCAAATTTTCAAGCATAAGTTTATGACATAGAGTTGTGGAAGTGTAAATAACAAACTTAAGTGTTACATATATAAATACATAGATTAGAATTGTGTTATGTATGTAATTTCCCTTTTTACAGTTATAATTTATAATTATGAAATAATAATAATAATAATAATAACGAGGAGGAATTAATGCTTTTATTACGTGGAAGCACAATCGTTGGTGTCGAACAATCAAGAGCCCGCCCGATTTTTTGGCCCACCCGATTTTTTGATTCGAGCCCAATTTTATTCCTTGTTGATTTTTTCCGATTTCTAATTTAGTTATTTTCTATTAGACTTCCCTGAATTTTTAGTTTGATGTTTTGAGACAGCTAGCTTGTTTTTGATATTTTGAACAACAACAACAACAAAGCCTTAATACCACCACGTGGGGTCGGTTACATGTATTTTTTTTCTCCATTGAGTCCTATTTTGTGTAAGATTTTCATTTAGTTCTAATAAATTAAGATCCTTTTTTATACAATAAGCCCAAATCTTCCTAGGTCTATCTCTGCCTTTCTTAACATAAGTCGAATCTAAAACATCTAATCTCCTAATCAGATCATCAGATGGTCGATGTTTAATGTGACTAAATTATTTAAGATACTCTCTAATCTACACCAACCCTATCAAAGATATATTCATTTCGTATTTTGTCTCTAAGTGTAAAACCACTCCACCTAATCATTCTTATCTCAACAACACTTAACTTAATATTATGCTTCTCTTATAAAGGTCAACATTCAACACCATAGAGCATTGCAGGTCTCACTACCCTCTTATAAAATTTTCCTTTCAGTCTAAGAGGTACTTTTCCATCACACAAAAGGCCCAAATCATTCCTCCATTTCAACCAACCAACTTAAATTCTACTATTAACATCCCCATTTATATCACCATCTATATCACCATTTATATCACCATCGCTTTGAACAATAGACCCAAGATATCTAAATCATTCACACATTTTAATAATTTGATCATCCAAAGGTACATTTTTGTCACTAGAGCTAATACTACTAAAATTACATTCCATGCATTCAGTTTTAGTTCTACTCAAATGAAGGCCTTTAGACTCCAATGTAGGCATCCATAATTCAAGTTTTTTCCTGGGCTTTTTCGCTCATCTTATCCACGAGAAGGATATCATCAACAAAAAACATACACCAAGGTACATCCTCCTGTAAATATCCAGTAAGACCATTCATAAATAAAACATAAAGATATGGTCTTAAAGCCGATCCTTGTTGTAATTTGACAGAAATAGGAAAATATTTGGTCAATCCTCCAGTTCGAACACAAGTAACAGCTCTAGCATACAAATCTTTAATGACTTGAATATAAGTCATATCAACACCTTTCTTCTCAAGAACTCTCCCAAGGATATCTCTTGGAACCTTATCGTAAGCTTTTTCTAAATCAATAAATGTCCAGTAAATTTTTGGTATTTTGAACATTGTATTTTTTTTTATTTCTATTCTAAGAAGTATTGTATCTTCTTTTTCTTTTGCATGCAAGTGGTGTGTCTGAGCTCGAGCCTACTATCCAACAACAAATTGCTGTTGTTGTACGCTCATGCCCCATCCAAATGCCGTTGATACCCCATATTTTTACTTCCTTAAATTTTTCCACAGTCCGTTCCCCACTAAATCTACTTCTTAAACACCTTATAGGAGTCCTAGCACAATATCATTTAATATTAGAGCCCGACAATCTCTGCGCATATAAAAAATCCAAAGAACTTAAAATCTTCCATAGATTTAATTCCCTAATTGTTCATACTACAATTCCTAACCCTAAGCCTAAATTTTTAAAAGCTATTCTTCATACCTCCACCAAAAATCCACCCCGACAAAAATCATCAAAACCTAAGCCCCCGACCATTCTTAATTCGCAATCATACATCCGTCGAAACCCTTATCAGGAGAAAAGGACATAATGATGCCTAAGAGAAACACTCAAAAATGTATTTGAGAACTTACTTTGCAGGACACCTCAAAAAATTCTCCAACTGCAACAAATATTAATCACTTTTGAGAGAAGACAATCTTAAGAGGCCACTTATAGCTACAACAGTGACTCTCCGAATCAAGAGAAGGAAGTATATTCATTCCACAATGAAGTTTACCATGACGAAAAATCAATACCCGACAGTTTGTTATTGAATATCAGATATGTCAAAAATTTGAAGTGAAGTTTACTCTATCTTGAGAAAGTTGTCAGAAGTTCTAACTGAATGTTTACCTCCTTGATTATCGCCACTGATAGAGATTCAATGTGTCATATATTTCATTAATTGGTCGGTTCCTCCAAACAAACTTGTTCGTCGAATATTGAATGCACCCAAGAGTATGATGAGTGGGAGAAGTTACAAGCTTAATGGTTTGTTGCTTGATTCGTGACAATACTTGTTTACGCACAGTTAAAGCTCCAACTGTGCTAAAAAAAGACAACTATTTTATTATATCAAATCAAACTTTGAAATGACATTATGTATTTCAAAGTTATTTGGGATGGACATGAGTATAGATTTTAGAGTGAGATTGCCCTAATATAGGAAGGTGGCGATTTTGTTATGGTAATGGTGGGTCGATTTCAAAAGCCTCCAAGCAGAATGCTTTCCTAACTCAGGAGAATGACATAAGAGCCTCTGATTCCACATGACTCCATGCAATTTTGTAGAATTGTGGAATCCCGCTATCACAGGCGCCGACCAGGCACAAAACCCACCAGATTTTCTAATTCTAGCTCAATTTTCCTCCTGTTTAACTATTGATTATTTACTTACTTCTAATTAAGTTATTTACTGATAGAGAATTTTTATATAATATGTATTTTATTATCTTGAGACAGCTAATTTAGTAGTGTATTTTCGAGATTGTATTTTCTGATTTCAGCTCTAAGGAATATTGTATCATCTTTCTTTTGCAAGTAATGTCTTTGTATCTTGCTTAATAACAAGTGGTAGAACCTTTTCCTATCACATACATTTTCCGTTTCGACATTCAACCGCTATTTTCAGTCTGGACAGCTGCCGAAGTGCTAGATCCTAACGTTCAACAGCAGATTCTGCACCCGAAAACTTAGTTCCTAAGTCTAATTCTTAAACACATTCTCAAAGCTCTAAAACGGAATCTTTAATATATTTTACTTCATTAAAATATTACATTATTGTTATCCAAGAGAGATGCTTTTGAAGAGATAGAAGCATGAGGTTCGAGGAGCTGTTTATCTCAGACATGAAGTTATGTTAATTGCTTGCCTTCAGAACCCGAGTGCGGTATTCTCCGAGTGCCCAGATGGGGAAGATGTTGCGATATGCTGAATAGCTGATCATGCAGTTTCTGTTGAAAACTCCCATAATTTCCTGCAACACGTCAGGTAAGGCTTTAAATACTTCAATAATGCACTAAATCATCATCATCATTTGCATGATCACAATTAAAAACTCTGTTATTCATTGATTTCTGTTGAGAACCATAAGACCAATTCTGCATAATTTTTTTTTTCAGAAAAATAAAAAAATGACGAAAAAATGTCGCATAGATGTCTTCTTAGGCCGTGTTTGGCTATTACTATTATTTACATTAAATAGGATTTAAATCCAATAAATCTTGTGACGGAGATGGAGCTTGTCGATAATAAAATAAATCCTTTAAATTCGTCTCTCATTCAAATTTATTAACAGTCATAATAAAGACGGAACGTGATGAAAAGTGACAGAATGCAAAAAATTTCGATTTAACGTGACCTTGCATTTAAGTTTCATTTTTTTAGTGCTTGGCTACATTCAAGTTAAATCAATCCCTAAATCATATTTTTGTTAATAAATTTAATTGGTACCTGCTGAGGGAATTCGCCGCTCTCCAGTTGCATGTTAATCAAGGTTTTCGCTGCTCGATTCAATGGCTTCGGATCTCTTTCAGCCTGTTTAAGGGGGGAAAAATAAGAAAGATTTAGATGAAAACACAAAAAGCAAAAATTTTAGATGGAATATTATGATTGCAAATTTTTTAATGTATACATTCTGTTTGACTTACATAAAAATTTGAGATTTCTAATATTGTCCCCTTCAGATTTTTGCCTCATAGTTTTTATGTCTATTTACAAACTTCGCAAGGATCATACGATTTTACGACAATGAAAGAAATCATAAATCTCAATAATATACATGCTTCAAACTTCTATTTTCAGGAATTGGTGCATAGTTCCTTATTCCAAATCTCGATATGCTAAGCTTTAGATACATCATAATGTCATAAAATTATTCAGCATAAGAACTGAAGATAATAAATGGAGCATATAATCAAAGAAGCTTTTAGATAACAATAATTTGTGATGAACAGAGTCTAATATGATTCATAAAATATGTAACGTGATAACTTAAAATGAGAAATCAATTGCTACGAATGCTTAACAGAATTATTTTCTGTGTTACCCGATATTTTATTTTATAAATAAAACTACAAGGACTTTTCAGAAAAAAAATATTAAATATAAACTGAAGCTTTATTATCACAAAAGGAAATATAAATGAGATGCAGTTGAATAATTTAAGAGATTGTACTGACCTGTCCAGCATCTATTAGGGCCAACATGGCCCATGCCGTGTTTACTGCATGAGACCGACATCCTTCAAGATTTGTGTACACCTGATTACAAGAGTTAAAGAAAAGTTTATATTATAAGTATAATAATTCAGTCAAGCTTAGGCTTAAACCCAAATTCAGTTAATATTTGAATAATCATTCATTGTGCTTTTGTGTCAATTTACCACATCAAGCTGGCATGAACTTGTCAATGAAGTGAGGATCACTGAATAATGAACCACTCAATTCTTATAAATTTACATATAAACTTTGATTTTTAAATTTATAACACTCAAATCTTTAAAAATATCACTATCAATAAATTTTAAAAAGCAAAATACACATTTTCATGCATAGATGAAGTGGTAGAAATGTAACTACCGAAGTTTAGGTGTTAGACAGGTAAATACATAGTAATTATGTGGCATGTATGCAAATCTTCCTTATTTTTATCATATATAATATGAAGCATATAACCAAATCATCAATGAAGTTAGTGAAGGAAATGTTGATCAAGGCATATAGTTTGCAAGGAAGAGTGAGTGAAATCTAGAACTCAAAGAACTTAGTTCAAAAGAATATATTTCAATGATATTTTTGGGTTTGGAGTTTTAACAATTAGAACAAAATCTTAAAATTAACTAATATACATCAATTGACCAAATAATAACTCATAAATTATGTTGCAACATTCTATTGATTTAGTCATATTACCAAAAATAAAACTGACCAAATTTACTAATTCTTGAATCGTTGCAGTTCTTGTTGACAGCCACTCAGTTGCATTTGTCACGCCAGTTGACTCATTAACCAAATGTAACCAAAGAGGTAAAGCAACCGAAAGAACTTTTTTAGTACCACATATGTAAAAAAAGAAAGATTGTATAAATTAAAAAAATTTATGATGTCTCATCATGAACCAAGCAACTTTAAACTTAACTCCAGGTCAAATCATTCAGAATGGGTATTCAGCTTATTAATAGGAAATCAAAAACAGCGCAACTGCAATTTTGGAAGGACCAAAGTTCAGATTTGAGATTAAAATAAACATTTCCATCCTATGTCTGCTTACATTAACTAAGTTGGTAAGGACTTCATTCTATAGGTGGGATGAAGGGTGCCAAAATCATCAAAGGTTTGACTTTAGTATATAACTGAAATAGAGAAGTTTAAAGGACTTGTTTGCATATATTTGATCAAATTTATACATTGTTAAAAATTCACTTGGCAACAACCTCTTAAATATTTCTTACATCATGTGGTGTCTGCAAGCATTCTTTATGTATTTGTAGGCTTAATGGGTTCAATAAGTGTCTCCCGTATTGTCCTAACTGTTTGCTCTCCTAAGTCGGAGAAATTGTATTGTGCTGAATACCATTTGTCACACCTGTAACTCAAGTCCATCAAGATGTTTTTCTACTTGGTACAATTTTCTAGAAAAGTCACCACCTTAAGTGTGTTCAAGCATGGGCTTGTTTAACTTAGAAATTCCAAGGAAATGAAAAAATACTACAATGTTTAAGAGTGTATCTTACCTAAAGCATCAAAAAAAAAATCTGGGATATTACCCCTTTAATGAGCTCGAGCAGCAAAAGTGCTGTTCATTGGTTGGCACATCAAAAGTTAGAAAAACTTTTTGCTTCAACTTCTTAATAATAACCGTATGGAGAAGCATAATCCATCAATATCTTATCATCATCAGAATAAGAACATATTTTACTTGTGTGGGGCTTAAAGTAGCTTCGTCTATGTTGTTTGTGAACACTATGAGGAATACTAAGAGAGATGCTCTACGTGCGAGTAAATTTGAGCAACACTTGAGCTTGAGGTGGCAAATTCTATAAGAAACTTCAAATCATGTGTTTAACCTATCAAAGATGCTATGCTAATAAATCTATGAAAATATTTATTAATAGATCAATAAGAACATTGGGCAGATATAAACCAATTTCTTCATAAATCATGAAGCACTACACTGTTATTTACAATAGTATATATAAAACAAAAACAATATAGGCATGAGCAAAATAAGGAACGAGTACTTTATACATTTTCAATATTACTGTAGCTCAAATTATTTTGTTGAGGAATGATACATAATACTTAACATTCAAGAATAGAACCCACATAATTAGTTTATTCTATGACCTAGATGATGAACTGATATGTAAAAAACTTCAAATCATACCGTGTTTAACCTATCAAAGATGCTATGCTAGTAAATCTATGAAAACATTTATTAATAGATCAATAGGAACATTAGGCCGATATAAACCATTTTCTTCATAACGACAGAAATGAAGCACTATAATGTTATTTACAACAGTATATAAAACAAAAACAATTTAGACACAAAGAAAATAAGGAACAACTAATTTATACCTCTTCAATATTACTTTAGCTTTATTTTGTTGAGGAATGATATATAATACTTAATATTCAAGAATGGAACCCACATAATTAGTTTCTTCTATCAACCTAGATGATGAACTGATATGAATCTCGTGAAACCAGAACAGCACAAGATTAGAGAAAAAGGAGATTACAAAGTAAATTGGAATTACATGAATAGAGGAAAAAATAAATCAGGTAAAGATTACCTTATCTTGACAAGAAAGATAACTCTCCCCCCAACCACCAGAAGCTAGTTGCTTAGATAACAGGAAATTACATGCTTTTTGGATAGAAGGACTATTTTGATATGATTTTCCAGCTGCAATTAGTCCCTTCACTCCAAACCATATTCCATAAGTGAAGCAAACAGCCCAAGAACCATACCTGTAAACAATTGCGCAGCTGTTAAAATGCAATTTCACTATGATGAAAAAATGATGCATAATGTTGAATGTAGTGCATATGGCCTCGGTATGTAAGAGTATCTAGTAAAGTGTCAAAATAGTCTCCTAACTATTTACATGGGGCATTTAAGTCCCACAGTATATCAAAATGTGTCAATTAGTCCCTAGAATCTTTAAATTGGGATTGAAATAGTCATTCGTGGGGACTATTTCATTGTATAGTAAAAGAGTGTGGGACTAAATTGATTCTTTTATAGATGTTTAAACTAAAATGACCCATTACAAACAGCTGGGAGACTATTTTTACACTTATCTAAAATTTTTAACGATTACAGCCTAAAACATCCCTACCAAATAAAGAATTGAGCACAAACCATGAACCATCTGGTTTCTGTATCTTCTCAATGAAATGAGCAGCCTTTTGAATGCAATTATCTATCTCTTTTCTTCGATGTTCAGGGAATAATTTTTTGAATGCTGTTAAAGCCTGAATTGATGCTGATGTGCATTCCACATATCTGCCAATAAAGTTTGGCATACCGAGATATAATTAAAAAGTATCAAATTCATTAAAATTGTCTAAATTTCTTACGGATAGTCAATAACTATGTCTCCAAATGTCTCAGCGGGATTGATAATCTGAAAAAAGAAATACCAGCATTTCAGAAAAATTTTCAATATCTATACTCCTATCATTATTCCATTGTCTATCTCAAAAATTGCAGTCATAAATATGTCAAAAAATAGATTTAAAAGATTAAGCTCATAAATGTACGGATTGATATGCTGTAATTAGGCAAATCGTTGTAAATCTCCATACCATGTCTTTGGTCTATTCAAGGAAAACTTTTACAAGGGTTATTGCGACAATGTATACAAACACGGCATAGTAATTATTTAGCACTTTTTAGACATAATAGACCAATTATCTATCAGTGATATCATGACTTCCATTGAGATAAAACGCACGAGGCATCAACAGTTTTTTTGGCATTTAATTAAATTCAAGTAAATAGAAACCACTTGTAATTGAAGCAAGTTAATATCTAAGTTTTCCATAAAGCAACTAGTTTTTGTTTGAAAATAGAATTTGCAATTTAATTAGAAAATGTCAATATCTCATCCCATCTTTCAGTTAGGTCAGCGCCTAAGTGCAATTTAGTCTTTTATGCGCCTAAGGACAATTTAATCATTTATTATTTATTATTGTTTAATATAAATAGAGCTAATATGTTTAGTGCAAGGATTATGTATGAGATTATTGTTTTGAGTTTAGGGACGGGGTTTGGGAGACATTTCCTACCTCTCAAATTGTAGGTGCTTATCTTTTATGTACTTGTATGAGTTGTTGGCGTTGTATTGCTTTGATTTGATAAAGACAATTTTTTTTGTTCTAATTTTCTATGGAAAAATCAATTCGATTCGTATCAAATTGGTATCAGAGCTTTTGATTTCTGGTAGATCAACGACAACGACAGATCATATCTTACTGAAGTATCGAACCCTCACTACCAAGAATGCGGTGTACAATAATTTGTTGTGAGACAGCGAAGGCTAACAAAGGATCACAATATCCAGTTATATGCCAACCCGCATAAAAGAATTTAGAATCGTTGCTTTTTGAAGATTTGTGTGATGTCTAGAGATTAAAGTCGAACCTGCGTATAGAGGTTTAGGGATCACAACGTCCAGAGTCCCGCGAGGCGTGCAGGAGTTATTCGTCGAACCCGAGTCCAAAGTTCCACGCCACTGTCGCTTATGACCAAACCTTGTGATTTACTCAGGATTATGGCGTACAAGAATTCGTTGTGAGTTTAGTAAAAGCTTTTATGATCGAAAAGTGATTTGGGAGTAATGGCGGCAAAAAAAGTGGATGATTTGGAGTAAAAAATTAGAGGAAGATGTGAGCCAAATAAAATATGAAATAGAAGATTGTTCCTTGTCCCTGGACGGGTGGTTCTAGTCTATGGAGGGGTGTTTTGAGAGGAGATTTACGACCTTAGAAGAAATGATGAAAAAAATTACACAAAACCACCTTAGCACATTATGAGATCGAGCGACATCTTGTGGGACGTGAAGGGTAGCGATCAAAAGGATTGGCACGGTATCAGACAAAGTCGTAACCTTAGGCGGATATGAAGTCGTGGGGTCGAGAAAAGGAATTAGGAGCAGATTCGAGCATGTAATAACTCTGAAACTTAGGGTTTCTCCCATCAATGTGCGCCCCAAATCGCAATCGTTAAGTACAAAAGGACGAGATCGAGAGATTGATTCAAGAGATGACAAAGGCTAGGATCATATAGTTTAGTGTGAACTCCTTCTCTAGCACAACCTTGCTAAAGATGCGAGTTGGTATCTCTGCATGGATTATCAGACAATGAATAAATAAACAGTAACTGATAAATTTCGAATTCCGAAGATCAATGAGTTATTGAGATGAGTTGTTTGGGTTACGATGTTCTCCAAAATTAACTTGAAGGCAAGGTTCCAAAAAATCTACATGCGGTTGAAGGATGTACACAAGCTGATGTTTTGAACTTATGAGGTCAATATGAATTTCTAATCAAATGGAAAGAATTATTAGATGATGATGCTGCAGGAAATCTAGACGACTAGAACCAATAGTAGTTTTCTTTTGTCCCACCTTGAGGACAATGTCTTTTTGGGAGAGTGTTGTTATGTCGGAACCTAAGGGCAATTTAATCTTTTTTGCGCCAAAGAATAATTTTGTTTTTTTGTTATTTATTATTGTTTAGTATAAATAGGGCTAATATGTTTAAGGTGAATGCTATGTGCGAGATTGATGTCTTGAGTCTTAGGGTTACATTTTGGGAGAGATCCCCTACCTCTCGAATTGTAGGATTTGGGAAAGACCACCTACCCCTTGAATTGTAGATGCTCATTTTTTATATATTTGTGTGAGTTGTCGGTGTTGTATTGCTTTGATTTGATATCAGCAAAATAAAGAATTTATTTTTTTCTAATTTTATGTGGAAAAATCAATTTGGTTAGACAAAAATTAAAACTCCCACACTCCCTTCTAACTCCCTCAAAATTAATTTATAAAAAAATATAATTCTTCTAGTGTCTTTCCAATAGTAAATTTCCACTTCATCCATGCAATCTATGTTCCATTGATCCTTCCACCTTATGGAAAATTAATTCTTATAATTTTCCTTTAATCTAACCGAACCCCCACCTCCCTAATGGAGATTTACAAGTTTAAACTAAGTGAAAATGTTAAGCAAGCAAATGAAGTAAAATACCTTAGATTGGTTCAATTTAAATTGGTTCCGACGACTAATCTTAATGCATTGCAAAAGGTAGAATTATGCTCAACACAAAGTGATGGATATTTTTTTAATATTTTTAATTTAAAGGCTTATTTATCTTTTTTTTTTATAGATTTTACTATTTATATATATGTTTGTAAGGGTATACGTATAGACCATTTTATAAAAGGGACTTTTATTGTCGAGAGTGGGGGAGATTAGGGGTTAGTGGTATTGGAGGCTAGAAAATATGTTTATTTAGGATTTGGAGGCTAGAATTCTTTCAATTGAGATATGATGCCAATGTAATCGTCATCTCGTATTTGGGGTTGCTTAGTTTAGTAGAGTTTATGGGGGGCATAAGGGCATAGACCTTATTGGGTAGAGTTGACATTGAATTTTCCAATATAAAGGAAAGATGCTAGAGGCTTCTTGCTTCTATGCTCGAAAAATATTTTACCCATCATCATTAACAAGGGCTTATTTTATAGCCTTTAGTCGACTTGGAACTTTGATAGACTATTTGAGCTCAATTGACAAAAAGGGTGACTTTATTTTTTTATTCATTTTTCCTTGTTTAGAGAGAGTTGGATTAACTAATACATAGAGAAGAGAATATTAGTTTATAGCACAACTCTAGGCAGATTAAACACAAGGTTAGCTATAAGAGTTTAACATATTTCACTAGAAGTAACCCATATGCATATTGACTTTGAATTTGGTAGTTTGTAGGTAGATATGCATCTAGTAAGGTATGTGAACATAATTGTAGTGGAGCCCATTTGGTTCAATAGGGCTACTAACGAGGGTAAACTTGTCTAAGATAGAATGATTAGTAGAGTGACCTGCTATGGTCGACATATTTGAATCATTAGGGGATGATAAGAGTTATGTGTGGAGCCTAATTGGTAAGGAAAAGCACCTAGGAACAAATCAGCGGGCAACCCAACACCCAGGGGGGGCCCTACGCCTGGTAGCAGGCAAACCAACACCAAAGCAGACGCCCAACCAAAGATTCCCAGGCAAAAACTCGTCACCAATAAGAGCACTCAGCAGAAGACTATTTTCCTCTGGAACAGAGAACCCATAAACTCCGCATCCGAGGATGGCGCCAAGGTTCGTAACCGATTTTGGCAGTTTTAGACTTTAAGTTTCGTATTTCCTCACAGAGGAAGGTGTGTGAAAATACTGTGAAGTGATGTTGCGAGTTGGTGTTGAATTTCTGTTAGTTCTCTTGTGCGAAAGAGAAAGGAAAGGAGCGTTCATGAGTTCCAGAAGAGTAGAGAAGCTTGAGTTTGAAATCTGTACAATTTCACCTCATTTCATAGTGAATTTCTTTGTGTGGTGTGATTTTGTGATTTTTTTCTATTCTCAGATTTTTTTTCAAATTAAATCTTGGTGTTATTTGCAATTTTTTTCTGGAATTACTTTTGTGTGCGCTTTCGTTCAAGCATTTTGTTTCGGACCAGTCGAATTGATGTTTCGTATTTATCTTAAACCATAACAAGGGGTATCTAAATATAGTTTTCCAAAGATCTTTCATTCGAGTAGGTACAAGGTGGATAATTTTAATGTTACGAACTTAGTGTTGTGGAAAATACAAATTGAAGATGTACTGTATCAAAAAAAATTATAATTGCCATTGGAAGGAATCACCAATAAGCCTAAATTGATGACTGAAAAAATTGGAACTGTTTGATCAAACAAAGTTGAGTAATAGAAAAGTACACTTAGACCGAAAGGACAACTTTATAAGATGACGGTGAGACTTGCAATGCTCTATGGCGTAGAATGTTAGCCTTTAAAGAAGAAGCATAAAACAAAGTTAAGTGTTGCCAAGATGAGAATGCTTAGGTGGTTGAGTGGCTTGACACTTGAGACAAAATGCAAAATGAATATATTCGTGATAGAGTTGGTGTAGCTTTAGTGGAGGATAAAATTAGAGAGAGTCGTCTTAGATGGTTTGGTCACATTAAACATCGACCACTTGATGATTCGGTTCGGAGAGTATCTTAAGAAAGGAAGAGATAGACCGAGAAAGACTTGGGTATATTGTATAAAAATTGATCTTAATTTATTAGAATTAAATGAAAATATGACACTCAATAGGACGCAATGGTGAAAAAGAATTCATGTAGCCAACCCCATTTAGTGGGATGAAGGCTTGTTGTTGTTGTTGTTGTTTGATCAAACAATTCTAGGTTCGATTTGACTAAATTTTCTAATATGTTGCTTTTAGCATTGTGAATGAGAAAACTATGATAGATCCCATGGATACACTAACAAGAATGTATGAAAAGCCCTCAGCTTAAAAAAAATTTTCTAATGAAGAAATTATTCAATATGAAAATGATAGATGGTAGTTTAGTGATTGAATATTTAAATAATTTCATCACTGTGATAAACCAGTTATGTTTTGTGGGCATCAAGTTCGATGGCAAGATCAGCTAGGGACAAATGAAAATTGTTTGATCAAACAACTATAGGTTCAATTCAACTCACTTTTCACATGTTGCTTTAAAAATTGTGAATAAGAACTATGATAGATTTCATGACTACACTAACAAGGATGTATGAAAAGCCCTTGACTTCAAATAAAATTTTTTTAATGAAATAGTTGCTCAATATTAAGATGAATGATGGTAGTTTGGTGGTAGAATATTTGAATAATTTCAACACTGTGACAAACCAATAGTGTTCAGTGTGCATAGAGTTCGATGATGAGGGCAGAACACAGTTACTTTTATCTTTATTGTTAGAAAGTTGTCATGGACTAGTCACTGTTATGAACTCTTCAAGTAACATGAAGTTAAAATTTGATGATAATGTGGTCGGGTTAGTACTGAATGAATAAGTTCACAAAACAAAGATGAATGTTAGAACTGCAAGAAGAAATGTCACTGCAAGAAGGAATACAAAACTCTAAAGGTTGGTCGTGGAGGTCCAGATAGGAAGATATCTATAAATGTTTCCATAGTTGACTCCCTAGTTTTCTCCCTAGATAACATTGAATCTTGGATAGTAGATTCAGGAGTTCCTATTTATGCATGCCCCAAAAAGAGGTGCTTAAAAACTACACTGGAAGTGATCTATGGAAGATAACAAGGTCCGCATTATTATTGGAAATAGTGATATGATATCAAATTGTCTATTGGAACAGTCTGAAAGCCTAATGAAGTTAGCCATGTTTCATGTTTAAAGAGAAGTTTGATCTTGGTGAGCTACCTTGCAAGGTCAGGGTATGTGACTAATTTCACGCAGGTAGTTTTTGAAAGACAACCAACTGGGCAATGATGATGGCTCAAGGCAATGTTGACTCTTCATCTGATCAATGAGATGTCTAAAAAAATTGATGTAGTTGGAACAAAGATTGATGCAGATTTTTGGCTTCACAGGCTTGACTGTATGAGTGAGAAATATATAAAGTCCATACTTTCTAAGAACAAACATCATAGTTTAAACTATATAGAGTTAGATTTTTGTGAAGCTTGTGTCCACGGTAAACAAAAGAATGTTATTTTCTCCAAAAATGAGTCAAATGTGAAGTTCAAAAAGCTAGAGTTAGTGCATACTGATGTATGGGGTCATATTCCACTTCATTCAATTAGAGGTTCTCAATACTTTGTCACTTTCATTGATGATCATACCAGAAAGGAGTGGGGTGTTTAAGAAGTAGAAGGCCATAGTTGAGAATAAAACAGGCTTGAGGTTTAAGTGTCTCAGATCAAATAATAGTGACGAGCATCGTGATCAAAGATTCAAGAGCTATTGTGCATCAGAAGGAATAAAGCATGAGTTCATTGTTCCAAAGACATCACATCAAAATGGTGTGGTTGAACACATGAATAGAATCATCACAAAGTGTGACAAGAGTATGAGGTTGCATGCAGACTTGTCAAAATTATTCTAGACAAAAATAGTGAACTCTGCAAATCTTTGCATGCAATCTTGCAAATATTTCTAGTAGTGAAGCTTAATTTACCTACAATTTGGGTAGACATTAGATTCTTACAATTGCCTCTATCAATGATGAGACTACACAACTTCCCTTAATGGATACGAAAAATATAGTACCGAAGCCGTTGTTGTTTTCTCTTGGGCTCAATTTGGAGAAATAGCAAACCATTAACATCTCTCCATTATTGAAAGGTAAAATGTTCATAGCTACATGCTCTAGTTTGAAGTCTTAGATGTTATGTATGATCATTCATTTCCCGACCATGGACTGATTTCTCCTCGAGTGGGGCAGAGTTTATTCTTGCAAAAACAGTGAACACTGTAGGTTTTTGCATGCAGACTTGTGAATATTTCTAGTACTGAAGCTCAATTTTTAATTGCAATTTAGGTTGACGTTAAATTCTCACAATGGCCTCTATCAATGATGAGGCTACACAGTTTCCTTTAATGGATACAAAAAATAAAGTGCCAAAGCCACCGTTGCTTTCTCTTGGGCTCAATTTTGGAGAGATCTTCCACCACTAACATTTCTCCATTACTGATGAAGAGCTGATACTCATCCTCATTCAAATCCTCTCATAAATCTTCATTATCTACTTCTTCAAAAGCCCTCATCCTCAATGAAAAAAATCAATCTTTTGTTTGAATAATTGAAGGCAAAATGTCTATAGCTACATTTCTAGCATGAAGACATAGATGTCATCTTATGATCATTCATTTCCCCACCTTGGACTGATTTCTTCTCCAGTTGGGCAGATTTTGTTCTTCCAAAAGTTATGTTCTTGTTACTCGATCTCAAGGCCAAACCCTGCCTGAAGAGTAGTGTTGTCCTGATGTTATTGTGTTGTTACTCCACCTTTAGGGCTAATCTTTCCATATGATGTAAAGACCAATAACTACATCATGTCGCCAACAAATGGACTTAAAGTTTCAAAATATCATATCACAATACTCACCTCTAGTTCCACTAACTCATATTTCAGTATGAGTTGTTTAATTTTTTTGTAGATATAAGACATCATGCCAATAGTGTGTTGAATGGCTATTACCTCTTCATCCAAGATCACATTACGATGTTGTTATTTCTTTTACATTAGCCGCTTCAAATTTCCCACCATAGAAAAACATTCTTTTTGAGCTTGAAAACCACTAAGTTGACTTTTATATCATGTGGATGTTTTTATAATCAATGATTCGTTTCATAATTTGGGGCTATTTAATCAGCTAATTCAGATATAAGTGCTATCAAAATTTGGTAACCCCATCTACACCTAAAGTCACTCTCTGCACTTATACTCAGTGACAAAATCAATGAGGCATTGGTTCCTCATCGTAGGAGGCTTCTCGGTGAAAGAAATTTTCTGCATCTTCTCTACCCAATTCGTCACCATCATGGCTATTGGTAAATTCTCTTTGTTATTTACTTTCAAATTTAGTGAGTCTGCATTACAATTGAAAATTTTCTTATTGCATATCCTCTATGATAAGCTCTTGAACACATATTTAAAAATTCCTCCTTAGTGACACGGTGGTTTCTCCCCAAATAGGCTTTTGTCCAATTGCAGGGTTGGAGATTTTTTATTTGGTCAAAGGCGGGGGTTTCAATTTTCGAGTGGATGGAGGATTTTTGTGTAAATATCAGGATTTGTATGGCCCTAATATCAAATGATAGCAATCAAGGTCCCAATAAACATTAGAAATCAAAGATGAAATTCTGGTACGTTTGTAAGAGAATAAAAATGAAGAACTTGAAATAATGTGAATTTGAAGAGTAATGTCGTGCGAACACTGTTTCACACACACTCAATCAAGATCAAAACACGAGTTGAAAGAGAATGATTACAACACCCCAAACAGGAGAAAGCAGAAAATGAATACCAACTTTTTTAGTTTAATACTGAAAATTTCAAGTAAACCTAAGAGAACACAAAAAATTTCATTTAAAAACATATCTTAAGAATCCTACTTCTAACACATTTGAAAGGTTTGACATTCGAGAAGGTTCTCATATTCCACACAAAATGAAGAAAATGAAGTACGCAAGGATTTCTTATGAGCTATATGAAAGAAATAATCTTACTTCTATCATAAATCTCAGAAGGTCTAAGAATTCAGAAGTACATTTGGGTAAACATGTAAGAAGAAAGTTACATAATTGTATAGATAGTGAGAGAGAATGTTTGACAAAAATAGCAAAATCAATTTTGAAATTGTTTGATTAATAACCATTCGACATGAACCCGAATCTCAATTTACATAGTTGGAGAATAAAACTTACGTAAAGTAATATAGCAGAAATGAAACAATAGCAAACCTTGAAAAAAGTAGGAATAAATAATAAAAAAGAGACAAAATGCATGTTGAATACAAACCTCCAACCAAGCAAAAGATCTTGTCAGTTCGTAAGTTGCAAAACCACCATCCTTATTCTGCATTGACCAATAAAAAACATATTAAGATTCTGAAGTAACTTGTTACAAGCATATTGAAGATTGAAAATGTAGACGTCACAATAGCATTATGGAATTCATTTTGAAAGTAAACAACGCTGAGGATGTACAAATGTTTTTAATATCCAAAGATAAAAAAATAAAATTAAATCAGCAACCAATCAATACAAATAGGCAGAATGGCAATGACATGTGAAAGCAATAAATATATTTATCCTCAACATAATTTACAAGATCATTGTCATTGTCGGTCGGTCCCAAGCCCGGATGTGAAAAGTGGAGAGTTGTGTTAGGTAGTTGACAACTAGCGTAAAACTTGTCGAAAAAATCATGACATAAATTTTTTTAAAAAAATTTGATCATTGTTAAGTGTTAGGGCGTCCCCTAGAAGCGACACATTGTATGGTCTGATTAAAGTGAATGCAAGGGCTGCTATACCGGCGTCCTGGTGTAGTATCAAATACGCAAATGTTCCCACAGTACGGACGTATGCGGGTAAATAAGTTAGTCCATAAAACATATATTGGATAGGATCTTGGAATATATGTACTCTTATTCATAAATTAATGGAATTAATTGATATTATGATTCATAGAAGATAAATATCTTATCTGTTCAAGAAACTAATGGGTTGGAGAAAAGGCTTAGAAGATTGATAACTTAGGTTTTCAACTTTAAAATTCAGGTAAGAGTCACATAAGAAATGTGGTATGTGGTATGTGTAATTATAGATAAGAGTTTGAAAGATAATGTTGTAAAAATTAATAGAGTTAGAGATAGAATTATAACCCTAAGATTATTGTTGATACTAAAATTTTTAATATTATAAGTGTTTATGCTTCTCAAGTAGGTTTAGATATAGGTTCTAAAAATAAATTCTAGAATGACTTAGAAGACTTAATACAAATGATATCTTTTGAAGAAAAAATTTTTATTGGAGGAGATTTAAATGGACATGTCGGTAGAGTGGTAGAAAATTTTAGAAATATTCATGGTGACTACAATTTTGGAGAGATTAATGAAGAAGTTAGAGCTATAATAGATTTTGCTTTAGTGTAAGATTTTGTTATTGTTAATATTTTATTCAAGAAAAGAGATGAAAATATTATTACTTATAAGAATGAAGTTAATAAAACACAAATTAATTATTTTCTTATGAGAAGAAAAGATCGTTGAGAATGTAAAGATTGTAAGGTCATTCCAAGTGAGGATTTAAGTACTCAACATCGATCGTAAGTTCTAGATTTTAAGATAAAGAGTAGTAAAATAAAGAATACTAGAAATCATTATTGTAGAATTAAATGGAGGTACCTAAAAGACATAAATAAAATTATTTTTATGAGTAAAATTCAAGATTTAAAAGTTTGGGATGTTCTTGAAGAAGCAAATTCTTTGTGGGATAAAGTAACAAAAACTATTAAACCAGTGACAAAAATTGTACTTAGAGAATCAAAAGAAAAATTTTCTATAAAAAAAATAGTTGGTGGTGGAATAATAATGTGCAAGAAAAGATAAAATATAAGAAGTTATGTTATAAAAATTGGTTTAAATGTAAAAGCTTAAAGAACTGAGAAAAATATCAAACGACCCATATGGAATCTAAGAGAACAATCTGTGACGCTAAAAATTCTGCTTTTAGTGATCTTTATAATACATTAAATACTAAAGGGGTGAAAAATATATGTATAAACTAGCCAAATAAAGAGAAAATAAAAGTAAAGATTTAACTCAAGTAAAGTATATTAAAGTTGAAAATCAAAAGTGCTTTTCTTAGAAAAAAATATTCAAAATAGCTGGGTGAGTTATTTTGATAAACTTTTTAAAGAAGTTTCGGAAAAAAAATGAACGACCTTAGTGATCTTAATATTGTTAATAATATTAAAATATCTCATTTTTACCATCACATTAGTAAAAAAGAAGTTGAGCAGGCTTTAAAGAAAAGCAAGGGTAAAAAGTTTGTAGGACCTGATGATATCCCAATTGAAGTGTGGAAATATTTAAGAGATTTGGGAGTTTCTTGGCTTACTAAACTCAATATTATTTTAAAAACTAAAAAGATGTCTGAGGAGTAAAGGAAGAGTTTTTTTGTCCCCGTTTTTAAGAATAAAGGGATGCACAAGAGTGTGTCAATTACAGAGGAATTAAGTTGATGTGTCATACTTTAAAATTATGGGAGAGGGTAATTAAACATAGGTTAAGACGCATCACAAAAATTTCTCATAATCAATTTGGATTTATGCCGGGTAAGTCTACTATGGAAGCTATACATTTATTGAGAGGTTTGATGGAGAAGTTCAGAGAAAATAAGGAGGATCTAAATATGATTTTTATTGATTTAGAAAAAGCTTATGATAAGGTTCCAAGAGATAACCTTTGGAGAGTTCTTGAAATGTGTTAATATGACTTATATTTAAGTCAATAAAAATATGTATACAAGAACTATTACTTGTGTTCGAACAAAAGGAGGATTGACCAAATATTTTCCTATTTCTATTGGTTTACATCAGGGATCGGCTTTAAGCCCATAACTTTTTGCTTTAGTTATACATGGTCTTACTGGAAACTTACAGGAGGATGTACCTTATTGTATGTTTTTTTGCTGATGACATCCTTCTCGTGGATAAGACAAGAGAAAAAACTCAGGAAAAACTTGAATTATGGATGTCTACCTTGGATTTTAAAGGCCTTCGTTTGAGTAGAACTAAAATTGAATACATGGAATGAAATTTTAGTAGTAGTAGCTCTAGTGACAAAAATGTAACTATGGGTGATCAAATTATTAAAAGGTG